CCCCGCCCCCGTGCTGCCTCCCACTGGGCTGCCTCCTGGTGGAGTAGAGCCTGACTCGAGCCCGGGCTGTTATAATTAATATGATTAGAAGGTGGCCCCAAAGGTCAGTCCTAAGCCCCCCTGGTCCCTTCAAGACAGAAGAGCACCCTGACTCAGAAGGTGAAGGGTTTCTGGGTAAGGAAGCATTTATTCTGGCGCATAACCCCAGAGAAAGGACGGTGGGCTTCCCGAGAAGGCAGGGCCGGGCACCCAGCCCCGGGGGAAGGCAGGCGCTGGGCCTCGTACTGTGTGCTCTGGGGACGCTGACTTCCCAGCACAGAGCTTAGTGTGTTTCCTTGTTTCCAGATCCCAACCGCGCCACCAAGTTACATGGGAAGACACCTCTGGTGAGAGACGCAGGCCGACCTCTGAGGGCTCATCCGCTGTCTCTCTGGGAGGAGTCAGCCACTGCGGCCCCACAGGCACCTCCCGCCAGAGCTCTGGAAACCCTAGGCCAGGGCCCATGAAATGTGAGCAGTGCTGAACAGCGAGCTAATCCAACTGCCCCCCCGAACCCCCGAACCCCGCAGCCTCGACCCCGCACACTGCAGCGAAGCTAATTGCCAGTAGTGTTAGCTCCTCGCAAACAGGGCAGGAAGCCCGTCGCATCCTCAGGTGGACCAGCCCCGTGCTCACGGCTGGGGGCCAAGCAGCTGTGGGTGAACGTGGAGGTGCCCCCATGCCCCCGGCCTCCGGGAGGTGCTGTCCATTGAGGGGCCTATGGGGCTCTCTGCCTGCACTTTCGGGGTCAGGAGCAGTTCAGGAGGCTGTGGTGTGAGTCAAAGGAGAGGCCAGTCGGATCGGGAGGCAAGCTGTCCCCCGGCCGCAAGGTGCTGTCAGTGCCAAAAGGGGTGCAGCCTGGGAGTGGGAGTGACCGTCACAGTCAGAAAGTGGCGATCTGCCACAGCGCCTCCCCGGGGCCTCTGAACCAGTGTCCTGGCAGGATGAGGCGCTACCTACCCCCCTTGTGTTGCCGCCCACCAGCGGCCTCGTGCCCGCTACCATTCATTTCAAAGGCTGAAGTGGGGCCACCAGCTTGAAGCTCGGGGTCGGCAGGCGGCGCGCAGGCGCCTCAGCAGATTTCCCAGATGAGGCACCAGTGCCTCCGGGTGGAGGGTGGCACTGCTGCCTGGCATGTGGCGAGCTGGATGCAGCATCGAGCTTCCTGCTGCACGGGCGGGAGTGGTACATCGCTAACTTGGTGCCTGCAAGGTCCATGAAAATGGTTCGAGTCCTCCAAGCCATTGTCCTGCGTGGCTCCCACCTGTCCCCAGCAAGTCACTCCCGGTCCCTGCATTCCACGGCTCAGCACCCAGCCCACACACGCTGCACTGTTTGGCCAGCACAGCCGCTAACAATTCTCGGCGCGTCTCAACTGAGGGCAAGGGGTGCACAGGAGGCGGGGCCTGAACAGCCCCGACACCTGTAACCTTTTAGGAAAATGGAAAAGGTTAGTGTTTGGTGAGGGGAACTGACCTCTTCATAACCAATGTATCTGAGCTGAGTGTGTTTTAATAAACCTGACTTTTCTCCAGGCCTAGTCTCTGCTGTCCCCCCTCCGCCTCCACCCAGCCCAGGCGTCTATGTGGCCCTCCTCCCGGTTCCCTCTCTGGCCGGCACCTTCCTCACACCTGCCCAGCCCAGAGCCTGCCACTCCCAGGACCCGACCCCAGCCCTATGACAGGAACAGCAGGGGTGGGTGAAAACTCGGGGGTGGGAGGGTGGGGGCAGACCCAGACCCAGAATTCTCAACATATAAAAATCTTTCAACACCTGTGTCCAGGCCGCTGGGAACCGACTGCGTTACACATCCTTGTGCCAAGAAGTGGCCATTCAGTCCCGGTCCCTGGACTCCTTCAGAGCCCCAACCCCACCTGGGACTCAGGACTTGGCTGCAGAGCCCGAAGGGGGTGTTCACACCGCCCTTCCCTGGGCGCAGGGGCCCAGCATGCCAGGCGAGCTCGGGGCAGTGACTGCGGGCATGTAACCTTTGACCCCACACGTGGAACAGCTTTGTGTCAAGGACTGAGATCTTCTTCCTTCTTTTCTTTTTAAGCCTCTGATAGTGACTGCTCTGCGTTTTGCTTTATTTGGGCACTAAGATGGGCGCGGCCGAGTGCGGCCCTGGGCGGAGGTGGGGGGAGAGTGCGAGGACTGCCGTTTCTTAGTGACATCACTGGAAGGTACAGAGAGACATCTGTGCCCAGGGACGCAGCCAACTGTCCCCACAGAGCAAAGTTCAAGTACCAAGTTAAGTGGTGCCTGTTTCTGTGAACAGCCTTGTTGGGGAAGATGATCTGAAGAGGCATCGGTGGTCAAAAGACCTAATCGTAAACACTCCTGTCCACGTTTGCTTACGAAACCACCGTGCACTCTCACAGCCACACGTGCCCCCTAATGGAGATGGTCCTTAGAGGCTGGTGTCTCCCCTGGAGATAGAGGTGACAGGCACGCCGGGAAGCCATGCACCCCAGGTCTCGGGTCTGTGGTTGGAAGCACGGACGTAGGGGTCTTCTAGGTCAGCCAATGCCGAGTTGAACCCCAACTGAAGGGAGCTTATGGCTTTCGTGGCCGGAGGATGCAGTGACCCACCAGCTCACAGGAGTGCCCAGCGGGTGCTTTGTGTTAATTGATAAAGAGCTATGGCTCATTTTTGATAGATAATATGTATTTATTAAATGTATTAACGTGTGTTTTATAATGTACTTTCATCCTCCGCTGGCTGACTATCGCGTACTTATGAGAAAAAAAAATTAAATAAATTTCAAGACAATCAATATGCACTATACATGACTGTATATAACTATTACAAAGGTTGTAATAGGTTGAAAAGGTTGTAAAGCATTGGCAGATGGATTTTATTTTCAACATGCTATTCTTAACACAGAAATAAAGGCTTTACTATTTACGTAAGACGTGTGGTAGCTTGTCAATACAACCACAAGGCTATACCTATGGCTCTTTGAATGGGAAAATCCTGGTTAATGGCAAACCACTGACCCAATGAGGGTCACCCATCAGCTTGCCCACCGAGTGAGGAGTCTGCTGGGTGTGGGGCCTGACTCATCTCGGTGGTGGGAAGGTAAGGCCGTCTCCTTTGGAAGTGACCACAGGCAGCAAGGCCTGTCGTGAAGAGCAGGTACCAGATAAACTAAGACCACGCAGGGGTTGAGACTTAAATTTAAACATGGCTCTTTGCCAAAGTGGGACACGGGTAACTAGGACGCTTCGCTGCTTGCAACTAGAGTTTGTTGTACATTTTAAAGGCGACTGGTGTAGAAGAACAGAGGCACTGAAGAAATAGATGGCTGAAAGAATAACATTTAGGGATAATGCAGAAAGACCAGTAAAGTAAGAATTACTTGCACTTACAACAAGTGCTGTCTTAGGTTTTCTAGCCATTAAATCGACTTGGTAAAGAAATAACAAGAGGAAGCATAACTGCCTGAACCTGGTCCCTGGTCAAGGAGCGGAGGTCGGGGAGACAGCAGCCTCTTCCTCCTTCACCTCCTCCTCCTCCTCCATGGTTTGTTTCACTGCAAATAAACAAAAGAAAAGGTCAGGACTGGGTTACCCGCCTGGGCAGACTTGTCATTGGGAAGTCGAGAACTGGTGTGTGGAGGCCAGTTGTACCAGCTGCTGGGCTGTCCCCAAACCCGCACATGGGTACATGGCCACCTTAGGTCGGCTCTGCAGGTCAGAGTGCACTTGCAGGGGGACTGAAGGAGGAAGTTTTTCTGAAGATGACAGATTCCAGCTCTGGCCTCAGCCCTGTGTGTCACCACTCACCCCCAAATTAAAAACTCCAGATAGCTTGGGGTCAGTACAAGATCAGAAGAGCATCTTTTCAAGACTTTCATGGTCTGGGATCCTGATTTCGAGTCAGCCAAAGAGGAAAGGGAGCTGAACACAGCGTGGCACTGTTGTAAGGAACACTGTCCCAGCAGATACCAGCGCCTCCCCCCAAATATGCACCCGTCTCCTGGTGGGGGGAGGGAGCCTTTGGGAAGACTTGTTACTCTTGGCTCTAGTGTCAGGTCCTGCCCGATGTGGGTGCCTGAAGCTGTTCTAAGCAAGGCACAGGCACAGCTGGCTTTTGTGGAGAGCTGGGTGGGACAGAAAGGATGGCAGTTTCACCGTGGGGTAGGCTTCAGGCCAGCCCGCTTGGTCCTGGTCCTGGCCTCCCAGTGACTAAGGCCACACACGGGCAGAGGGCAGACCCTAGCCCAGGGGAGGCGTGGACCCCGACCGACCCGAGCAGCCTGGCGGCTCCCAGGTCGGAGCGGCTGAAGCTTCGGGCAGAGCAGGCCAGCCCGGCAGCTTTCGGCTCAGTCGACACAGACTGCCCAAGAGACAGGGTTTATTCAAAGTCCATTTCCAAATCACCTCTGTGGACTTGCAATTTCAACATTTCAATTGGCCCCGCCCCTACTTCCCATCCTGGCCCTGCCCCATCCCACCAACCTGGCCCCACCCCCGCCTCCCCTTCCTGACACTGCTGGTGTGTAAAGATCCCCAGGTGACAAAGGAAGAATTGGAAATGGCATCCCCCAGAGTTGCCTCTGTTTAATAACTAGCAAAATGCGTAATGCATTTATTTAGGTTCTCATGACTGTATTAACCCAGACAAGAAAAATACTGCCAACACCTGGAGCTGTGCTCTGGGAACATGAAACACTTCTCAATGTGTGTGCCTTTCTGTGCCACCTGTCTGGGGAATCCCAGTGAAGACCCTGTTGGCTGGCAGGTGATGAGGCCCCACAGATGCACCACACACAGCTGGCCTCCCAGCCGCGCTGACCGTGTTTAGAACTGACTGAGGTGGCCCCCTGATGGGCAGCGTTTGCCAGTTCCAGTGGAGGACCTGGCACGGAGCTGGGAAGCTGGCCCGGGGACAGTGTGCAGGTAGACACAGGTACCACAGAGCTCTCCAGGGGTGGGACCAGCAACGTTTGCATCACTGGGCACCTGGGAGAAACGCAAATCCCTGACCCACAGTCAGAGCCGCCTGTGGAGCCTGCTGTGTGCTCCCCGACCTCTGGTGGGTGCTGACGCCTGACTCTGGTCCCTGGCTGCACTTAGGAGCCTGGGCAGCCCCTGAAGCCTACTGTGCCTGGTCTCACCCAGACCTTCTGGGCCTGGGCCTGGGCCCGGCCTCAGGACTCATTCAAAGCCCCATGTGTGCTGACCAGTTAGGGTTGAGAAACTCGAACCACGACTGGAGCCCCTTGAAGACAGGACCCGCCCTGGCCAGTGTGCCTCCGTGGACAGAGCCCCGGCCTGCGACTGCAGGTCCCAGGTTCCGTTCTGCTCAGGGCGCAGGCCTGGGCGGCAGCCTCGACCCCTGGGCGCATGCAAGAGGCAACCAGTCAATCATCCTCATCACTGATGTTCCTCTCTCTCCCTGTCTCTCTGAAATCAATAACAATATATTTAAAAAAAGAAATATGACCCTAAAGACCCCCAGCCGTTCAGCTCAGCGGCATTCTCTGTGCCTACAGCTGGTAGCCAGACCCACAGCGCCGCTAATGCGGTGGGAGGGGGACTGGTTTCGGGGGTGGGGGGCTCCAGCTTTGGGCTCTCTAGCTCCTCAACCCTCCCCGAAGGCAACCCCGATGATTGCGTCCTGGAATTTTACCCAGTTCCTACCCATACCTACAACCTCTCTCCCTAACGCTACACTTTGGCCCCATCTCTTTCAGATCACAAGCCTGGAGGGAGGAGATGGCAAGGGATGCTAGGGACCCTTCTTTAAGCTGTAGTCAAGATATGACCCCAGCATGTCCAACCTGCGGCCGGTGGGTTGCTCGACCTAGACTAAAGGGCCTGAACAGGTGGTTGCGGAGCCTCCCCGTGGGGGCCTCCCCGTGCCCGCCCCACCCCAGGCAATCAGTCAGAATCTGTGCGGTGCAGCCGCTGGAGAGCTGGCCCTTCCGTGAGCCAGCGGACATCTCCCCACAGAGCAGTGCCCCGCCGCATCTGCCCGGAAAGCTCAGCACGCACGGACTGGCAGGTGTGGACTAGCACATTCCTGACATCAGAGCATGGAAAGCAACCCGGGCGCCTGTCCAGCTTGCTGGGTGAAGGCCTCATGGGCTAAGTGGACAACGAGCTCCCCTCAGCTCAGACCCATCCTCAAGGCTGAAGGCAGGTGTGGAGTGGGAGTGGCCCACTGTGTGGATCTGTGTGCAGCAGGTCTAGCCACTGAGGGATGCACGTAAGACGGAAAGAACTCTAAAGAAAAGCCAAGAGCCATTATCACCAAGTGAGGGACAGTGGCTTCCAGGGACAGCGCTGAAAGTGTGGCGGCCTCTGCTGCCTCAATGGGGGTGGGGGGGTGTGCTTCATAGGCACTGAGTTTGCATGTTTACAGCCCTCCCGGAAAAAGAGAAAAGAAATGAGCATGGGAGTAACAGGAACTTACAAAGAACCTGAGAGGAGCGATGTAACTGCCTGGGGAGGGTGGGGCCGGACTGAGTGGAGTCCCCATCAGTGTTAGCAGGAAGTCAGAAAATGCCCCAAACCCGACCGTCTGTTAGGGTTGCAGACGGACGGCCCAGAGGCCAGCGGGAGTGAGCAGGACAGTCTGAGAGGGCAGCACACATGTGCGCATTCTGTCCGCTTTCTCTCGGGCGTCTTTCTAGCCATGGGACACGGTGCAGGGGTTACTTTGCTAAAAATGTGAAAACAATGACATCTCCTCAGTGGTTTCCCCCTGGGCTTGGCAGACGCAGCTGGCACAGGTAGGCTAGGGTGG